GCGATGGAGGAGGCAGGGCTTAGCGATCGAGGAGACAGGGAAGCGCTAGAACTCCTGTATTGGAGGTGACGGGTTCAATAAAGAGAACCTGTCACCTCCAAATGCTATCACGCATGGGGCTTGTTAGCTCCTGTGTGATAGCAATAAAGTTAAGTGAAATAAATAAAGTAAAAATAAAAAAATTGATAAAAAATTGTAAAATAAATAAACATTTATGAAAAAATAAGTAAAAATGATAAAAATTATAAAAAGTAAAAGATAGTAAGATTTTAAAAAAAAAAGAAATTACCAAATAATTAGAAAAAAAAATGATAACAAAAAAAAAAAAGGAGCCTCAGGTGGGCTGTTTGGGATCTCAGGTGGACTTATCTAGAAATCACAGGGGCCCCATACAAGATTTTGCTACGGGGCCCTGTGGTTTCAAGTTACGCCCCTGTGCAGCAGGTAGGTAGGTGGGTGGCTTTCACCATCTATAAGATGAGGGGGGTCACCACGGGGGGCCTTTTACATCTTCTTTTCCTGTTTTATTACTTTTGTATGTTTTTGCTGGAAATGTCTCCTTGCGCGTGTTCTGCGTGTAATTCTGCACGCTGTGTGAACCCGTTTCTGCATTGCGGCGCGGGGGCGCGCAGGACGTGTACACAGACGCAGAGCGGCTCAGCACGCACACGTGTGATCGGACACGTCGGCAGTATATTGAAGTCGTTTATCTGCAGTTGGTGTGGAGTCACCAGTGCAGAGCCGGAGAGACTGACCGCCGGGATCACCATGACAACACCGGAGAGAGGAAACATTCTGCAATACAAAGTAACCGATCTCACCCCGAAATCCGTGCAGCGATCTCCACGGCTCACCGGCTGCTCCATCCCTGGGAGACTCCACCATGGCGGCAGCTGCTCCGGATCTCACGCGATTAAACCTTCGCTGGAGGAAACCTCTCTAATCAGATTATGATGAGGAAAGGCTGAGAGGTCTCCCTGCGTTCACCTCCCATTATAGATCTGTGACGACCGACGGGGTCACCTACAGTGATAGGGATGGTGGGAGCTCCTCATAATGGGCACAGCGGGGGTTCAGACCCGGGAACTCAGCACCGGGATGGTGGGGGCCCCTCATAATGGGCACAGCGGGGGTACAGACCCGGGAACTCAGCACAGGGATGGGGGGAGCTCCTCATAATGGGCACAGCGGGTATATAGACCCGGGAACTCAGCACAGGGATGGTGGGAGCTCCTCATAATGGGCACAGCAGGTGTACAGACCCGGGAACTCAGCACAGGGATGGGGGGAGCTCCTCATAATGGGCACAGCGGGTATATAGACCCGGGAACTCAGCACAGGGATGGTGGGAGCTCCTCATAATGGGCACAGCAGGTGTACAGACCCGGGAACTCAGCACAGGGATGGGGGGAGCTCCTCATAATGGGCACAGCGGGTATATAGACCCGGGAACTCAGCACAGGGATGGTGGGAGCTCCTCATAATGGGCACAGCAGGTGTACAGACCCGGGAACTCAGCACAGGGATGGGGGGAGCTCCTCATAATGGGCACAGCGGGTATATAGACCCGGGAACTCAGCACAGGGATGGTGGGAGCTCCTCATAATGGGCACAGCAGGTGTACAGACCCGGGAACTCAGCACAGGGATGGGGGGAGCTCCTCATAATGGGCACAGCGGGTATATAGACCCGGGAACTCAGCACAGGGATGGTGGGAGCTCCTCATAATGGGCACAGCAGGTGTACAGACCCGGGAACTCAGCACAGGGATGGGGGGAGCTCCTCATAATGGGCACAGCGGGTATATAGACCCGGGAACTCAGCACAGGGATGGTGGGAGCTCCTCATAATGGGCACAGCAGGTGTACAGACCCGGGAACTCAGCACAGGGATGGGGGGAGCTCCTCATAATGGGCACAGCGGGTATATAGACCCGGGAACTCAGCACAGGGATGGTGGGAGCTCCTCATAATGGGCACAGCAGGTGTACAGACCCGGGAACTCAGCACAGGGATGGGGGGAGCTCCTCATAATGGGCACAGCGGGTATATAGACCCGGGAACTCAGCACAGGGATGGTGGGAGCTCCTCATAATGGGCACAGCAGGTGTACAGACCCGGGAACTCAGCACAGGGATGGGGGGAGCTCCTCATAATGGGCACAGCGGGTATATAGACCCGGGAACTCAGCACAGGGATGGTGGGAGCTCCTCATAATGGGCACAGCAGGTGTACAGACCCGGGAACTCAGCACAGGGATGGGGGGAGCTCCTCATAATGGGCACAGCGGGTATATAGACCCGGGAACTCAGCACAGGGATGGTGGGAGCTCCTCATAATGGGCACAGCAGGTGTACAGACCCGGGAACTCAGCACAGGGATGGGGGGAGCTCCTCATAATGGGCACAGCGGGTATATAGACCCGGGAACTCAGCACAGGGATGGTGGGAGCTCCTCATAATGGGCACAGCAGGTGTACAGACCCGGGAACTCAGCACAGGGATGGGGGGAGCTCCTCATAATGGGCACAGCGGGTATATAGACCCGGGAACTCAGCACAGGGATGGTGGGAGCTCCTCATAATGGGCACAGCAGGTGTACAGACCCGGGAACTCAGCACAGGGATGGGGGGAGCTCCTCATAATGGGCACAGCGGGTATATAGACCCGGGAACTCAGCACAGGGATGGTGGGAGCTCCTCATAATGGGCACAGCAGGTGTACAGACCCGGGAACTCAGCACAGGGATGGGGGGAGCTCCTCATAATGGGCACAGCGGGTATATAGACCCGGGAACTCAGCACAGGGATGGTGGGAGCTCCTCATAATGGGCACAGCAGGTGTACAGACCCGGGAACTCAGCACAGGGATGGGGGGAGCTCCTCATAATGGGCACAGCGGGTATATAGACCCGGGAACTCAGCACAGGGATGGTGGGAGCTCCTCATAATGGGCACAGCAGGTGTACAGACCCGGGAACTCAGCACAGGGATGGGGGGAGCTCCTCATAATGGGCACAGCGGGTATATAGACCCGGGAACTCAGCACAGGGATGGTGGGAGCTCCTCATAATGGGCACAGCAGGTGTACAGACCCGGGAACTCAGCACAGGGATGGGGGGAGCTCCTCATAATGGGCACAGCGGGTATATAGACCCGGGAACTCAGCACAGGGATGGTGGGAGCTCCTCATAATGGGCACAGCAGGTGTACAGACCCGGGAACTCAGCACAGGGATGGGGGGAGCTCCTCATAATGGGCACAGCGGGTATATAGACCCGGGAACTCAGCACAGGGATGGTGGGAGCTCCTCATAATGGGCACAGCAGGTGTACAGACCCGGGAACTCAGCACAGGGATGGGGGGAGCTCCTCATAATGGGCACAGCGGGTATATAGACCCGGGAACTCAGCACAGGGATGGTGGGAGCTCCTCATAATGGGCACAGCAGGTGTACAGACCCGGGAACTCAGCACAGGGATGGGGGGAGCTCCTCATAATGGGCACAGCGGGTATATAGACCCGGGAACTCAGCACAGGGATGGTGGGAGCTCCTCATAATGGGCACAGCAGGTGTACAGACCCGGGAACTCAGCACAGGGATGGGGGGAGCTCCTCATAATGGGCACAGCGGGTATATAGACCCGGGAACTCAGCACAGGGATGTTGGGAACCCATCATAATAAGCACAGCGGGGGTACAGACCCGGGAACTCAGCACAGGGATGGGGGGAGCTCCTCATAATGGGCACAGCGGGTGTACAGACCCGGGAAATCAGCTCAGGGATGGTGGGAGCCCCTCATAATGGGCACAGCGCGTGTACAGACCCGGGAACTCAGCACAGGGATGGTGGGAGCCCCTCATAATGGGCACAGCAGGTGTACAGACCCGGGAACTCAGCACAGGGATGGTGGGGGCCTCGTTTTCTCACACTTAGGAGATTCATTTCCATTGATATTACAATGTATCGATATCCCGATGGGGAGGAGGCGGGTCCATGGGGGGGGGGATGTAACGCACATGTGATGTCTTTACTCGGAGAAGTTCCAGACCTCCCTCGCTCGCAGCTCGTACAGTAAATACGCGGCGATAATGTGCGCAGCTCCTCTCCATCAGGTTTATGTTCCATAATGATTTGTGAAGGAACCGTCCGCAGCTTTTTCCATGGATTTCATCCCTTCATCCCGAGGATTAGCGAGGCATCCCTCTGCTACCGTCACCTCGCCCCCCATTAAATGCGCTCGCTACCACTTATAGAAGTGCGCACGTCTCCCGAGCTTCGGGACCGTCTCCAGACAAGACACACAACCCATCACAAGGAGAAGGTTTACAGATGGGCGCTGGGAAGACGGAGCGCAGCGCCATAAATATTACTTCTCTAGTTATGACATCACTTCCCTGGTGATGACATCAACATCAATAAATCCTGCGGAGAATGCTCAGGTAACCTTCTGGCCAGAAAATAGTCATGTCTCCAACTGATGCCCATCCACAGAGCCCCTCATACCCCATCCACACGGCCCCTCATACCGCATCCACACGGCCCCTCATACCGCATCCACACGGCCCCTCATACCGCATCCACACGGCCCCTCATACCGCATCCACACGGCCCCTCATACCGCATCCACACGGCCCCTCATACCGCATCCACACGGCCCCTCATACCGCATCCACACGGCCCCTCATACCGCATCCACACGGCCCCTCATACCGCATCCACACGGCCCCTCATACCGCATCCACACGGCCCCTCATACCGCATCCACACGGCCCCTCATACCGCATCCACACGGCCCCTCATACCGCATCCACACGGCCCCTCATACCGCATCCACACGGCCCCTCATACCGCATCCACACGGCCCCTCATACCGCATCCACACGGCCCCTCATACCGCATCCACACGGCCCCTCATACCGCATCCACACGGCCCCTCATACCGCATCCACACGGCCCCTCATACCGCATCCACACGGCCCCTCATACCGCATCCACACGGCCCCTCATACCGCATCCACACGGCCCCTCATACCGCATCCACACGGCCCCTCATACCGCATCCACACGGCCCCTCATACCGCATCCACACGGCCCCTCATACCGCATCCACACGGCCCCTCATACCGCATCCACACGGCCCCTCATACCGCATCCACACGGCCCCTCATACCGCATCCACACGGCCCCTCATACCGCATCCACACGGCCCCTCATACCGCATCCACACGGCCCCTCATACCGCATCCACACGGCCCCTCATACCGCATCCACACGGCCCCTCATACCGCATCCACACGGCCCCTCATACCGCATCCACACGGCCCCTCATACCGCATCCACACGGCCCCTCATACCGCATCCACACGGCCCCTCATACCGCATCCACACGGCCCCTCATACCGCATCCACACGGCCCCTCATACCGCATCCACACGGCCCCTCATACCGCATCCACACGGCCCCTCATACCGCATCCACACGGCCCCTCATACCGCATCCACACGGCCCCTCATACCGCATCCACACGGCCCCTCATACCGCATCCACACGGCCCCTCATACCGCATCCACACGGCCCCTCATACCGCATCCACACGGCCCCTCATACCGCATCCACACGGCCCCTCATACCGCATCCACACGGCCCCTCATACCGCATCCACACGGCCCCTCATACCGCATCCACACGGCCCCTCATACCGCATCCACACGGCCCCTCATACCGCATCCACACGGCCCCTCATACCGCATCCACACGGCCCCTCATACCGCATCCACACGGCCCCTCATACCGCATCCACACGGCCCCTCATACCGCATCCACACGGCCCCTCATACCGCATCCACACGGCCCCTCATACCGCATCCACACGGCCCCTCATACCGCATCCACACGGCCCCTCATACCGCATCCACACGGCCCCTCATACCGCATCCACACGGCCCCTCATACCGCATCCACACGGCCCCTCATACCGCATCCACACGGCCCCTCATACCGCATCCACACGGCCCCTCATACCGCATCCACACGGCCCCTCATACCGCATCCACACGGCCCCTCATACCGCATCCACACGGCCCCTCATACCGCATCCACACGGCCCCTCATACCGCATCCACACGGCCCCTCATACCGCATCCACACGGCCCCTCATACCGCATCCACACGGCCCCTCATACCGCATCCACACGGCCCCTCATACCGCATCCACACGGCCCCTCATACCGCATCCACACGGCCCCTCATACCGCATCCACACGGCCCCTCATACCGCATCCACACGGCCCCTCATACCGCATCCACACGGCCCCTCATACCGCATCCACACGGCCCCTCATACCGCATCCACACGGCCCCTCATACCGCATCCACACGGCCCCTCATACCGCATCCACACGGCCCCTCATACCGCATCCACACGGCCCCTCATACCGCATCCACACGGCCCCTCATACCGCATCCACACGGCCCCTCATACCGCATCCACACGGCCCCTCATACCGCATCCACACGGCCCCTCATACCGCATCCACACGGCCCCTCATACCGCATCCACACGGCCCCTCATACCGCATCCACACGGCCCCTCATACCGCATCCACACGGCCCCTCATACCGCATCCACACGGCCCCTCATACCGCATCCACACGGCCCCTCATACCGCATCCACACGGCCCCTCATACCGCATCCACACGGCCCCTCATACCGCATCCACACGGCCCCTCATACCGCATCCACACGGCCCCTCATACCGCATCCACACGGCCCCTCATACCGCATCCACACGGCCCCTCATACCGCATCCACACGGCCCCTCATACCGCATCCACACGGCCCCTCATACCGCATCCACACGGCCCCTCATACCGCATCCACACGGCCCCTCATACCGCATCCACACGGCCCCTCATACCGCATCCACACGGCCCCTCATACCGCATCCACACGGCCCCTCATACCGCATCCACACGGCCCCTCATACCGCATCCACACGGCCCCTCATACCGCATCCACACGGCCCCTCATACCGCATCCACACGGCCCCTCATACCGCATCCACACGGCCCCTCATACCGCATCCACACGGCCCCTCATACCGCATCCACACGGCCCCTCATACCGCATCCACACGGCCCCTCATACCGCATCCACACGGCCCCTCATACCGCATCCACACGGCCCCTCATACCGCATCCACACGGCCCCTCATACCGCATCCACACGGCCCCTCATACCGCATCCACACGGCCCCTCATACCGCATCCACACGGCCCCTCATACCGCATCCACACGGCCCCTCATACCGCATCCACACGGCCCCTCATACCGCATCCACACGGCCCCTCATACCGCATCCACACGGCCCCTCATACCGCATCCACACGGCCCCTCATACCGCATCCACACGGCCCCTCATACCGCATCCACACGGCCCCTCATACCGCATCCACACGGCCCCTCATACCGCATCCACACGGCCCCTCATACCGCATCCACACGGCCCCTCATACCGCATCCACACGGCCCCTCATACCGCATCCACACGGCCCCTCATACCGCATCCACACGGCCCCTCATACCGCATCCACACGGCCCCTCATACCCCATCCACACAGGCCCTCATACCCCATCCACACAGGCCCTCAGCGCGCTTTCCCATGTAAAGTAACTGAAACCCCCCCAAACAAGAAAGCGTCCTGCTCACCGGATACAGTAACCGTGGTGCTGCAGGAAGCTGATCCGGCGCTGCTCTGTGCCCGGCAGGTGTACATCCCCTCATCCTCCGGCAGGGCGTCTTGTACAGTCAGCTGCGCCGTCCCGTCCTCGTAGGTGGTATGCGCGTACTGGATTGGCCGTTCTGTGGTGGGCAAAGAAGAAAAAAAACGACAGTGATATCATCCAATCTAAGGGATCCGACGTCCACTACACGTCAGTTCATTCCACCGCAACTTCCTTCCTAACAAAAAGTCCAAATGTATCAATTTCTCCACCCAGAAGCGGAGCATCTCACATACCAAAATCACTCTATACATATAGAACATTGTAACCAGCGGCCGGACGGAAATATTGAACACTTAGGTCCGCACATACAAGGCGGCTTCATCTTCTATATAAACTCTTCTACGAGTCTGCAGGATGGGAGTTTATTCCGGGAGAGACGATCAGATCCATCGCCACTTTCTGTATAAAGAAATGTTTCTGTTCCTATCACCCGGCTGATCCCGGAATCTCTGAATGAAGTCCGGATACAATGTAGCGATATTCCGGCATGAATAACGTTTTCCTGGAAAGTTGCAATTGTATTCGGAGATTTCTGATTGAATGCAATTAAAGGAGAATTATGGGGTCAGTGTTTTTCCCCATAGTTCTCCTTAGGGTAACGGGAGGACACAAACTAGCGTCCTTCCGTCACCCTAGGCTCAGTATATAGGGAGCTACAGCTCGCGGTATACTGAGACGCCGCAGCCGGAGCGGATCCCGACAATTATGTCTGGATCTGCCCAGCTGCGTGAGTGACAGCTGGCTCTGCCTATCTAGAGGCAGAGCCAGCTGTACCCTCCCCCTCCCCCGTCCGTTCTGCCAGTCAGCGCTGACGGATCGGAGCGGGGAGGAGGGAATCCAGCCCCTCCCCTGTCACGACAGAGAGCCGTGACAGGATCGAGAGGTGAGCGAGCGACGGTATGTGTTCTCTCACCTCCCGATCTACTGAGCCGACCTGTGACAGTCTCATTGTCACAGGTTGGCTAGAACTATGAGGTGAGTGAAAAGCACTCCCCCCCCCCCTCATAGTTCTCCTTTAA